CCCCCCTTCATGAACTCTGTAGGTCTCTCCCCCCCTTCCCCCGGGCCCCCCAGTAGCCCCAGCTTGGCTGTTGTTACATTTTTATAGTTGTAAATTTGTTGATTTGTGGGAGAGAGTGACGCTGGGGACCATCTTTTCTGCCATCTTGACTGGAACTCTAATTACCTATTTTTAATTTATTTATTTATTTTTCCTTTTTGTCTTTTTTTTTCGTGACCGGCAACGGATCGCAACCCTCAGTGTCGTGCCCGCACCTCGCTCAGCCAGTGAGCGGCCGGTCTGTATGTGGGATCCGAACCCTCGGCGGGAGCGCCGCCACGCTCCCAAGCGGCGCACTGTAGTAGTGCGCCACTGGGCCGGCCCGTAGTTACCTATTTTTTAAACAAAAGAAATATTGCCATTTTAATCTACAAAGTATAGCACGTTTATCTAGGATTCAAGGGATATAGGTTCCAGGGTCTACCTGGCCATTGTGTGACCTCGAACAACTCTTAAATTCTTTCAATCTGAGGAGACTCATGATAAAATACAAGTGTTGAATCAGGTTGTCTTGAATATCCCTTATATAGCACATTTACTCCGTCACTCCATTAAATTACAGTAACATGCTAAAAATTGTTTTGAGACAATTTTGGAATTTTAAAACCAGATCTAAAATGTTGTGCTTTTGGAAGCTGGCCGATACAGAGATCTCTGAACCCTTGACATTGGTGTTTCTAGCACCATGCTCTAACCAAGCAAGTTAACTCACCAGCCTCCCAGATCTAAAATTAAAAACAAAATCCTAGTGTAATTTGTTGTAATAATTCAAATAGTAACTGATGTTTAGCTTTGCCCTTTGTCATCTAAAACTTCAATTTTTCATTGTTCAATGTATAGTATCTTTGCAGTTTAATTTCTTTCCTGAGGACAGTGCATGATTAAAAAAACAAAAACACATTTTCTATAGTTTTAGGGATGCATTTAATTATATTTTCTTGTGATTCTAAAGACATCTCATAATCTTTAACAACTCAAAAAAAGCTTTTCAAGGTTGTAGTATTAATTTCCTGCTTCATTTTCTTTTACCTTATTTTTTAATTTCTACAAAATTTCTTCTGGAGTTGTGAATGCCAGTCTTTCCCACTTCTTTGCAAGGGTAATCTAAAATCACAACACTAAATCTAAATTATAACACCTTGGAAATAAACTTGAAGATCTCATTGTTGGTCTGTCCATCTGATGGAGGTACACTAATAACTTTAGTTTTTTGTAGTTGGTGGTGTTACACCATTTTATTTGGGGCCTGATTTTGCATTGTTGGCTATAGTGCAGCAGCCTTTAGAATTAAGGCCTTTCATAAGGAAGAGGTCTCACTGGTCCTTGCTCTGCCCCCTTCCTTTTTTCTTTCTTTCCTTTTTTTTTTTTTTTTTGCACCTCTGTGTCAAATGTGAACCAAGCAGCTTCCCAAATCCATGACTGGTCTCTGGGCTTCCTCAGCTCACCCAGAGAACTGCAGCAATCTGGAAGGTAGTGTCAGAACCAATCTGTCAGTTAACTGACAATACTCTTGATCAGGAGTATGCTTTCTTTTATACCAATCATATCTTCCTAAAATCACAACCCTATAGTTAAATTGATTTTACTTGGTTACTTCTTAATTCTCCCAACAGCACACTTACTCTCAGGACAGGTCAATTCTCCAGATGACTTATCCCATCTTTTTTCTTTTTATTTGTTATTTTTACCCATCTTTTATTGGGCCATTTCCTATGAAGATGGGAAGTTGGAACATAAACTGAATTAACTATTCTCAAGGTGGGGAGATCTTCAGATTTGAGTGCACCCCACTCTATAATTGTTTTTGAAAATATTTAAAATTATGCAAGTAACATACTAATATTATCTTTGTTTAAAAATAGATAAAAAACAAACTCAAAGTCCCCTTTCACCATCACCCCATCGTCCATCATCAGTTTTTTTTTTTTTTTCCTTTTTGTCTTTTTTACTGACCGGCAACGGGATCACAACCCTTGGTGTTGCGCCCGCACCGCGCTCAACCAGTGAGCGGGAACCGGTCTCCACATGGGATCTGAACCCTTGGCGGGGAGCGCCGCCGCGCTCTCAAGCGACGTACTCTCCAGTGCGCCACCGGGCCGGCCCTATCATCAGTGTTTTGAGGACACTTTCCCAATGTCCTTTCTACAGTTTCTTTCCTCTACTGTATATACATATACACATTTCACATAAATGACACCAATTCGGTTTTTTTTGTTTTTGTTTTTGGCGGCTGGCCAGTAACAGGGATGGAAACTTAGACCTTGGTGTTATCAACACCACCCTCTAACCAACTGAGCTAATCGGCCAGCCCTCGCCCCGTTTTATAGGCAAGGAAACTAAAGAAGGAACATGCGTTGACATATTTATTGAAAGAAAAGAAGACTGAGCAATGGTTTATTAAAACCTACTATGTGTCAGACCCTGTGCCCAGTACTTTCTTGGCATGAAGGGTTCTGATATTTCACTTCTGCTGGACGGATCGCCGCACTAGGTTAGCTAAGCCATTAGTTTAGAGGTTGGGTACGGGGTACAAGAGTCGCTTCAGTGCGAGGATGTAGGATTTGTATTTTGATGAGAGCTGCAGAAAACCTAAGAGAGTTAGGTGGAGCTGCAAAAAAGAAAAAAATACTGTGATCGGCAGTTGGGTCTTTCAATAAAGGTTGTGTAGTCAAAATGCGAAGAACCTTCTACCTGCCGACACCGAAGTTTCCTAATCGACACCGCGTCCACGATGCTGGTCTTGGAGCTTGGAGAGAAAGGCACCTGAGGTTGCAAAAAGGTTGCGGCGAGCAGGCAGCAACCAAGCAGCCAGCAACCAAGCAGCCAACCCGGAGAGAGGAGAGAGCGCTCCCGGCCGGGGGGGAAGTGCGCCTGCGCGGGCCGATGGACAGGGGGGGCAGGGGGGCAGGGGGC